CATCTTTGCAGGAGAGGTTGTTGTGGAAGGTAGTCAAAGCTGACGGCGACTACCGATGAGGCATTTCATCACGTGAAATTGTACAACCAAGTATCGAACACACCAGACGGCGTTTATATTTACCGAAATCCCATTAAGGAGTTCGGCCTGCTTATGTCATTAATATTTATTTGCGTTGGCAATCTCACTTGCACTGGGGCTGCACAAGTCTGCAGTTTGTAAGCCGCCCAGTTAGCTACTTTCCCGTTCCATGCGATACCGTATAGACCAGCAAATGAGAACCGATGCTATCTCATTAGTCCGCTCCATGTTGGGTGCATTGCCATATTACAGGTAGTACGCTGCACATGACGCATGTGGGCTTAAACACAGGCGGTCACCTTCCAATTCGCATTTTACTCTCAATTTGCACAGGACCCTTTTGTCGCTTTACACACAAGAAAGTCAGAACATTTTAGCACCACAGGTACCCATCGGTAGCAATTATTCAGCTGTGAGAGTTGGTATCTAAACACAGACGGGATGCAGTCGTGTGCTGCTTTCGAGGGCTTCCTAACCCTTAACCTGCACACATTGCAAACGCGAAGTAGTCGTACATTACAAGCAGAGTATGCCCTAATGAGTCTGTAACCACAAGGATACGCACGCCGTCTGGTTGCGGCAAAAGTTCAGTGCCAACCGGTACATTTGCCGTCACACTGCATAGGACTCTCCGTATATTCACATGTTTGGAACGTAGATGTGGTAGTAATATGTCAAACCTGAGCCGCGTTTGCAAGCATAGTTAACTATTTGCTTATCTTTCTAGCAGGTTTAATACATTTATATCACATCCACGTTCCAAACGTGTGAGTATACTGAAAGTACGCTGTCGTGGATAGTCAAATGCACCGGTTGTCACAGAACATATGACGCAACATTTGGTGCAATCGGTGTTTCGATAATTGTTACCCAGGATGATGTCGTCAGGATATTTTATTAGCGTAGCTTCTGAATGGGCTGTTATTGAGCTCATGTAGGTAAGTTCAAGTGGAGACAGTGCTGCTCACAAAATATCAATCGACCTTGTGAAATGGTTTCAGGAAAGTAATTTTGTTTCTCCCTTGACCCTGACGTATCCAAATATTGTGACAACTGGACTAACTATCTAACTTTTGTTTTGACACCTGCTGTCCTTGAAAAACTCTCAACGTCCGCGCGGACAGGTTCTCTTCCCCCATCTGAAGTGGCTGTGTGGACTTAAGGAGAGAGCATTTAAAGTACAATAAGGCATCTCAGTGAGGTCTCTCACTGTTCGTATCAAGGAAGAGATACGCCGTCTCCGCCAAGTGTATATCCAGTCTATTACGGTACCAATAAAAGGGTTTAACAAATATTGACCTGTCGCTTGCTTTTCTGTTGCCTTGGAGTCTCAAGCAAAAATCATTCTTGAAATGACGCTATCACAAACCTACTCGAATGTCCCCTTAAAAGAGTTATCCTGGTTCGAGACCTAGTGTATATGCAGTGGCCCGCCTCGTATGTTCTATAGTGTCATCAATTGACAACTGAAACAGATCAACTCATACGTGTTGTCTTGAGGATAACAACGAATTCTGCTGTCTAAAACGTGAAATGTTGCTGAAATATCTACTCATTTAAGGAATATATCCCTCCATCATCCAATTGCTGTGTGATTAGTTTACTAACAAACACATTACACGAGTCAGTGACAAATGCTGCTACCCACTAACCGTCAACTTGGGTGTTCTACAGGGAGAAATTCCTTCGCTTTATCACTTTCTACTTATGTCAGCTCAATAGTAGCCTAACAATAGGGGACGCCTGCTGTAACAGTGCAGTGCCTACTCCACTTGTAACACACTTGTAACACTGTCATTGGAGCACCGCTCAAAAGAGCCGTTTTACCCAAGGGGGCCATCTGTCAACCCACAGTTCAGTGGCAATTTGCGCAGGCCCCTTTTGTGGTTTTTTTACTCACGAGCACGCCATAACACTTGGGCACCACAGGTCCGGATCATTCGCAGTCATACATCTGTGAGTGCCTTGAGAACCTTACACACCGTACCTACCCGGGCAACGCTAGGTCATCCTAACAGTGCCATCCTGTAACCTTCGTCTTCTAATGTTTCTATTTGAAATTATAAACAGGATTCCATGTATAAAATATGTTCTCAACTTTCCATCTCCTCACCGAAGATGTAAGGTTGTGATGAGCGAGTAGTTAAAACCAAATGGACGTATACTAATACACATGCAAATATCTCTGCTAAATCACCATTTTACACTCCATTTTATTGAATTGTTCATTATTTTATTTGTTTCTCTTCATTACGGCCATCCTACTGCACATGTCAGGAGTTATCTATTTGAACCCTTATATACCGTTGTACAGCCATCTGTGATTGTGGACTGCGTGTTCACAGGCAGTTAGATGGGGAATTAAGTGCTTTCGACCTTGCGGAATTATGGCCTTTGCTGACACAACTACCGCAGGAAGGGACCATCAAGTCGGTGTACTGCATCCATCATGACGATGAACGACGCTTGCTTTAACAAAGCAGTGTCTCCCCGCTTTGTAACAAAATGGTAGTAGTCGTTTTTCGGCAGTACCCCTCCCAGCATACCGCCTCTCAAGACGGCTTGCTACAACCCAAGACGGCCACCTTCCAACCTGTATTTCGGTTGTACAGGCCCATTTTGTTGCTTTACTCGCAAGTCCGCCATAACGCTTCGGGACCACTGCCCCATCATTCGCAGTCAAGCACCTGCTATCCGGACACAGTGCCGTCGACTGCCCGAGTGTTGGTAGGTCGTCCAAAACCTTGGGCTGCACCACTGCCAAACCAGTCATAAGATCGCTGATGGGCGTCGCATTACCGTGTTTGCAGCCTTCTCCTTACTGGTGCCGTTCGTAAAGCATGCCTGGTAGCCCACTCAATCGCATCGCGTGTTTGGACAACCTTGTGCCCCTAAGTTGCGTGGAACCAGCGTCAGTGTAGGCACTCGTTACTGAATGGAGACTGGAACGGCCACATGTCTCGACCACACACGGCTAACACATAAATCTATGCAAGAGTTCTTTTATCAGTTGTCTTTGGCTCACTTGGGCTACCTCAATTATAAGGACAATGCGCGCGCAAGGTGCGGCAGAAACATACCGGATGCAATTCAACCGCGTTAAAGACTACGATCGGTGCAAATCAAAGCCTTATGGAGCAATTCAACTGCACTACGGATGCAATGATTCGGTTAAAAATTTAGACGACGGCTAGGCTTCGATCGATTGGTCTGAATGACTTGATCGTTTACACAAGGCGTGGGAGCGACCCTGATCGTACGTTTCATTTAAGGCGTTCAACAAGATGGGAGTCTAACACAACCGCAATGCAGGAACACATTTAATTTAGCTATGTCATCCGTTGTCTACCGTGGGCTGAAAATTGGCAGATATGTCATAATATAGCTTTGAATTACTTTTGTTGAGTAGTTGCAACGAGTTTCGATCCTTTTCTGGGTTTCGGATGGCTCGGTTCCCTTCGGTATCTGCATACTTAAGCTTCAACAAGATTTTCTGTATCTGATTTAATGGAATCAGATCACTGTTTTTCCGGTGCGGCTTTGAAACAATCTCTTCACCAGTATATAAGTACATATTTTAGCGCTTTTAGAAACTCTTTTGTTCATGGTTGATGCCGGTATGAGGGATAATCGGTTTAGGCGCATGATCGTAAGTAACCTGGCAAAAGAACTCTCATCACTGAGGTGAAGTTGGATAACTGTTTTACTTAATGCCCTGAAGTTTGCAAGTAGCCTAATATTCAAGCTGCGGAATGAAAAAAATTTGTCAGCTTATACGCCGTAACGGCGCTTCGCTGCCGCGCGACCACCACCAGTCGCGCGCGGGCTGAGTATACCGCGAGGACGCCCACCCTTACGCGGATTCGAACCGGTGACCTTATGGTTGCAAAGCAAACGTGCAGACCACTCGGCTACACTGTGATCAGCACCGGATAATGATATATATACGGATCCATCGGGCAATGTAACAAACCAAGTTTTGAATGTAATTGTTTCTTGCATCACATATCAACAACCATATGCGTCCGCTCTGATCACGAACTTCTTCACTCATCCGTTAAAACCATCTTAGACGCTGTATGAAGCACGTTGCTTCTGTACCCATTTGTAATCCACATACATCTGTGAGTCTCAAGCATTCTTGTTTCGTTGGGGCATCGGTTTATTGTGCTGTTGGCCTGTAACCATCTGGCTTTCTCAGTACTGATGTACTACTAGTACAGGACGCATTAGCATCGACCCTGACCCCCTACAAGGGTCGATCGTCCCAGTCAACTACGTACCACAGTGGCCGCGAGCGGCAGTATGGCAAAGAATAACTCCAAGAAAGCGTGGAGTGTGTGTATGTGCGGATGCGAGGTGCTAAGAAAGTATGTGGCTTAAGAGACCTGAATCTGCAACCCGGAATATGCATCGTATGCTGATGTTGCATTTGCATATATATGCTCTCCAACTAAGTTGATCTCGTCGCACCAATTCGCCACAATTGGCTTCTATATTTCCAAAAAATAGAATATCCACCGAACATGGGATGTCAAAAATGCAGCATTGCGCAAGTTTGATTTATTCAGAGACTGGTGACTCATATGACCCAAACCAGAGCAGCGGTTGATACATTCTTAGCCCGTAGGTCCTCCTAGAACATAGGTGTTAGTTGCACCCAGACAGACGGAGTAACATATCGTTTAACCATCAAAAGTTTATCCTTTTCGGTTAATTAAAAGACGTTAGAAAATTAGCTTCGGTCTCTTGCAGAAAGTTTGAATTGTTGGTTCATTTACTGCGAGTTCCTGGCTATGGCTTCTTAAGACAACTGCTTTTGTTCATGGTTAATGGTTCTGACACTTTAACTCAAACGACAGTAAACATTCAGGCAGCCTGGCCGTGTAAAACCGAACGGCAAATAAGCTAAAACTCACCAACAGCACCAAGCCGTAGATATAAGTTGACGCCATCGGAGTCTCTGGAGAAATGCCAGTTTTCCTGCCTCCTCTCTTCCGATCGATCCCCAAACAAAAGTTGTAATGGAGTGATTCTTTTCGCCCTGGATGCCACTTGTTTGGAACGCTTTGAGCATCCGTGTTGTGATTCTCTTGATTGATCTGAGGGTGGTTTAGCATGACTTTGTTCGATGGAGGTCTCATTATAGCAAACAACCTCATTTGGATCGATCGCCAAATCGCAATCTGACTCAGAGTTAGAGTTTGCTTCCAGGTTACTGTCAGCATCCGACGGCGAGCTCTTGAGTTGAAACTCATTGGTGCTAGCAGAAATTTTTCCAATGTCATGTCTCTCAACAGCTGATTTACCATTGTGGAAGGTGGCCGGAACAGGTGATAGAGTGAAGGAGACTTTTGTCGAGGAGCTGAAAATTTGGGGCTGCCAAAATCAGAAAGAAATTAAGAAATTGTTATGCCAACTAGGTGGCCTGACCGTTTGCATCCTATAGGTCACGAAACGCACGGATAAGTGAGATTGTTCTCTTGCTTTCTCTGACACGTTGAATGCTGTTAGTGGCAGATCTAAAGAACAGTAGTTTCTGGCTCAATGCAATAACTATGATAGCCACCGTCGATCATTTGCAGCCCATGGAAAATGTACAGTACGGTTTTTTGAAACCACACACCATATTAAAGGGATCACAGCGCTCAACAGTCCACAGATCGAGCTGCTACAACAGTTCCCAGCATCAACAAATTTATGGATATCCGCAATCAAATGCTCTGTTGTGGTATCTCGTAGAAAGGCTACCGTAATCCGAGGAATATGTTTACCACTAAACAATAAAGACGACCGAAATGGGGGCCTGCCGAAATAGGTATTTATGTCCAACGTACCCGTACTTTGTCAACACCACGGTTTTAAATGGGTGGATGGCTATGAGGGAGTGACATCTTCCATAGAACAGCTCCCGTGCGGGTTACACTGCCTCACACTAGTTAACACCACTGCACATCCGATTCGTCAATAGACCCACTGCAATCGGCCTGTTAGAAGATGAGAGCAAACACCCTTTTGATCCCGGTTGCAAACATTATCTCTTAATTGCACGAATTTACCACATGGCAAGTCACAGTGAACCTGCAGTATCCAAGCAACTAACCAGATTCATTAGTTTCCTTTGCCAGCTAAGTCCTTGTACCTGGATATTTACACCGCCAAATATCATGTAAACGATGCAAAAGCTAAGTTTTACCTATGTCAGCAAGTGCTAGAACCACTGCTTGTTACCCTAACGAACCGACCGGACCATCACCATCTAGTGCGTTTCCGCATTACGTCATTGCTATGCACATGTGCTAATCAAGGGGAGAATTGACCCATTAGCAACCATGATCAAAGACCCAAGAGACCATTTCTCTTTACTATCATTGATGGAGGCGTACAATGGACCTTGTTTACGCCGATGTAACACCGATAGAAATCTACTTCTGACATCTCAAGTGTACCGGACTGACAAGAGTAATATTGATCCTCACTCCCTTTTCACTTATTTCAGTACTCGGGGAAACGTTAATGCCAATGGAACAGCCAAACGCAGTTAGTTAGCCGATATTTACCAGCTTTTGATCGTATAGCCTTACACAACATACAAACTAAGTTTTGAAAGTACAAAATGTAGAAAAAAGGATGGGACCTTACAGGAAGACTAGATAATAGATCGGCCGCGTCTGTATAATCCAGACCAACTCTTTTCAACCGGACATCACCTTGACACCTGTGTCATGAGACTACGGTATGGCTAGGAGCCGACCTCAGTGGCGTTCGTGCTGTGAGTTTCTTTGTCCCACCCCATCCCTCTTAGCCTCCCCCTCCAACCACGATCTCATTATTTAGCTTTATATAATCTTGCATAATATTTTTTTTCTTTTTGGGTGCACAGCAGCCGGCTGGTAGCTTACCGGAACGATGCCCATCCGTTACCGGTAGCTCAGCCAGCTTGCACCAGTTGTTTTTTTCTCTCCTTTTTTTCTCTTTTTATTGCGGCACAGTAGCTGAGGTGTTCCCCACCTCTAGCTAACTTGTATGATGATGATGATGATGACGTAAAGGAACATCCGGGAGATAAACGGGGAAATAGAATGTTTTTTGACCGAACTACACTTATTGTTGAAAAACGTCCGACAGTTCAATACACATTCTGATGTAGCTTGTTGTCTATAGAACGCCGTCACAACTACTGCTCATATGTTTCATTCAAATCTCTTTCCAGTAAGTATAGCGAATAAAGCATAAGAATCGACTCAACGGAACACTTGAAATAAGCTGACATTGGATGGATACGATACTGTCCTACCGCCAAGAATGCAATAGGTCACGCCCGTTGGGGAGTAATCAAGTATTACTGAAGAACCTGACCTAGGGTAATATAAATGCACAGTCAGACCAGTCGGTCCAGGGTCACTCAATATCTATAACCTATGCCCAGAAAAAGGAAATGTCATGGATTTACGGAACTTCGATTTCCAACACCATCACTTTTCTGGTTCGTAAACATTCTCAATGAGTTTATGTTACCGTTTTCGTGAAGTTGAAAAGGTAGATGACTGAACCATTAAGATATGGTATTGCGCATAGCATTGCCCTCTTCAACTGCGGGGCCGTTCACGAAATAAGTGAAGTTAAGCAGATAGTCCAGGAACTTCCTAACGTACTGATTTAGTGCTTTCCGTTTTGTGCATTAAGAAGTGGAATTCCTAGAAGAATATAGCAAACGCGAAGCCACGCATCTTGCGAGTCCATTTAGCGAGCTGTATTAAAAGTTAACATCAGAATACGCTGTGGTCGTGGTGACGTTTGCGTTGACACATAACGTAGGCCGCAATTGAGGAGAGAATGCAAGCACGTGTTTGTTTCTCGATCCTCTCTAGCTCAACATACTCTCCCTGCCTACTCAAACTGGATGAATTTAAGGGTTATGACTGAGCGGTAGATCTCTATACAAGGTTCGTTTATTTCTTCAAAACAGAATACAGTGTAGTGTCATGGTAGATTTTGATGTGCGCTCCATCAACTCGTTTAGTCAGATAACTGCGAAGTGGTGCAGCAGCTAGTGGTCAAATGATTTGGATCAAAATCACTTGATCAACCGGGTGGTAGATAGGGTGGTAGGCACACAGTTTCCTTTGGCAGTGTTTACGGAGTTTTCAGTGTCAACTAGTCCCCACGAACCGCATACTCATTTGTTCCCTGTATGGAAACAGAGACGGCTATCCACATTAACAGGTAAGAAGACTACGGGATATGACCGACTACTCGCAAATGAAAAGTAGTAACACATAAAGGAAGTACTCCAGTTGGGCTGGATTGTGCGTAGCCGCTAGGAGTATGGCAACATTAGTCTCAGGCTAACTGAGCCAGCTCAGGATGTGCATTGCACTGCATGGCAAACGGTTACGATACTCTCAGTTCAACTGATATTATCCAGAATGCATTCACAGTTGGAGTTCGAGGCGGCGTTTCAAGTAGCTTGGTTAGAAAGGATAAATACTAAGTGATTCATACGTCATGGCATTTATGCATAAGACCGCGATGATGACCACTAGGGAATAATGGCTAATGAGCAGTAAAAAACATAAGCTTGACATGTCCCTCGGGTTGCTAAATGAGAAAATTGCAAATTCGAATACTACAGGTGTGGATCCAGTATAATGCGCATCAGTGAAACGATAGAGTAATGGCTGGGAGAATGATATGGTACCATGCAAAATGGAATAACAAGTTGCTATGCTTAGTGATTGCTGCAAATAACAGTTTGATTGCCCACCCGTCTGCGCAGATTTATCGCATCATTTTGAGTTGCAATAACAAAGAAGCTAGCCAGTCTGAATATGTGCCAGAATAACCCTTCATGTAAGAAAGTGAAGAGAGCTCAGTGCGATTTCCAATCATTTGTTAAAACTAACTGAGGTGGGAGTAACTGAAATTGCAATAGTGTTCCAGGGTTGGCGGACCCTGAGGGAGAAACAGTACCGTTGATAATATAACTGTAATGCTGACTCCGTTTTAAGCTATTGTCTTTCAGGTTTGTGTTCGGACCGAGATGCAAAAGAAGACGACACACGTGACTAGGGTGGATCAGTATTTGGTAAACTAATATGAGGTCTCCACGTAGCCGCCGGTAGCGCCCACTGAACATTCCGGGTATCTGCAAGCGTTCTTGGTAGGGAAGGTTGCGCAAACCCCCCAATGTTTCGTTGCTCGACATTGGGGGTCTCGAGCTTTGTGAGTCACGTTTTAGGCAATTTCACCAAACTTGGATGGGGTATTCGACGCGGGGACGCACGTAGGCGTTGAGCATCAGAGAGAAGGCCTGAATGCCCTCCGCAACAGAACAAAGTGCTGGTTACCACTTTATGAAGCAGAAACAGACTGTCTGGGACAACTGAGGTCGTCCTGCACCAGCGAACCAAGGTTACTTTCTTGATTGCTGATCTTCAGATCATGCGCCCCAATCCTGTGGCTTTAAGTTTGCCGATGGCGGATGCGGATGATGCTGCACTCGTCCACATTGAATGGCAGCGCGGTCCTCACCGACCAATTCCAAGTCCCATCAAGTCACGCAGGAGGACCTCGAGGCCGTCCAATACCTTGTGTGCTCGCCAAACCATAGCGTCATCCGCGAAGACTGGAACCTTTGACGTGATAACTTGTTAGTGGAAAGTAAGAATAGGCGAGGCCCAAATACCAAACCCTTCGATATGCCACAGGCCACATGAATTGTGTCGTCAAAAGCGTCTGAATTCAAATCTCCAGTTGACGTTCGCAGAGCAAATCACTGATTCATCTTAATATTGGATCTTAGATGCCATAATGCTGTAGTTTGTGAAACGTGATACAGTGCTTTAAGCTCTGGAAAGATTTTGAAAAGTCCAAGTAGATATCATCGATTCTTGTCCCCACATTGACCGTTTCGATCCAGTTATCCCGCGTTATCAGCAGGTTTGTGGTACATGATCAATGTTGACGAAAGCCGTTCTGCTCCGGCGCGGTGATGCCATAGTTTTCCAAGTGGCCCAATGATCGCAGGGAGTAGCGTTATTAGGGGGTAATTGGCAGGCTCAGAACGACTTCCTCCTTTGTGTTAGAGTTGATGATACCCCGCTTCCACCTTGATGGACCATGTTCTCGTTTACACAGTGTCGAAAGAATCTAGCAAGTGGTTCGGCTAATTACATGGTTGTTACCTGCAGTGCTTTCGGGTGAATGTTATCCGCTCCAGGAGAGCTGCATGTACGCAAGAATAACAGCTTTTCATCACCGTTTTGCTGATTAACCAGATGGTGGAGTAATAGAAAGAGTTATAGCGTTCTCGCCTTGTTCCACTTAGAAATTAGGTAAGTATTGGACCCGTAACGCATGAGCAGGTTCTGTCATTGTATATATGTATTCATTAACCGCTGTGAGGGGTAGGCTTTCGCGTTACACCTTAAAAAGTCTATTTACCTGTCTGTAAAGAACCTTATGGTTCGAACAGAATCGTTGCGCCTGATCTAGCTGATGTGTTTACTTGTCCTCACAACCAGCTGCACACAGTAGTTGCGTTGTCCTACGTACACCGTCCAATTTTCTAAACTGAGGTTGTTTTTGTAAACACGCCATGTCCGATCGCTCGATGCCATATATTTTCGTGTTTGGCTTCTCAACGAAAGTATTTTGCTTTGGGAGGATGATGGAAATGTGTGGCTGAGATACTTTTGTGACAAGTGGCATAAATATTTTTACTAATCTTTCTCAGACGACCTATGGGCTGCACTCAGTCATGAATGTCCAAATGACGACTTCAGCGAATGCGAATCACACGTGGTAATAAGTAAAAGTGGGCATCATTTCGAGTTCAACAGCAAGATTTTCGACTTAGCAAATGTATGCAAACAGCAGTCACGTGCTTGCTTCAGCCCAAAAGACTGTACACCTCTAGATCACCAACCATGAGCTTTAAGATGATGTGCAGTAAGTCTAATATTAATGACTTATTCGCTGTTCCGAACCTGGTGGCAGCGATTATCTGGTTGCACAGTGGTGTGCTAGTAATGAGCTCTTGCAGATCAGGTTTGAGCTGTTCTCTCTCGATTGCTGGAGTCTCCAGACTATGAACGTTAAAATCTCCTGTAGTAAGGATATCGCTGTATTTCTGCCTTATCACAGGACGAAATCCAGTATTAGCCTGCGGTCCATTTTCATTGGATTTGGGTGGTCGGTAAACTTCGGACCAGGGCAGATACCGTCCTTTGCAACAAAGGAGAACTGTGACGTGCATTTGAGGATCATCTATGAATTCACAGCGAAAGTTTGTGTTGTAATAAATAATCAGTTATCCTCCCCTATCCGTTCTGTCGTTCAGCAGAAGTGACATGCCAAGTAGGGCGATCAATACGTCGGGAATCACATAGTTCAGCCACGTTTCGGTGATCACTATATTGTCTCGAGACTCTGAAGTTTGACGATGACGGATTTCGACCACCTTACTAATAAGGCCTTGTGCATTAGTATACGAGCAAGATAGTTGCTCAATAAACAAAAGTGAACTAGCGGATGTTGAACTAAGAATGGAGTTTGTGCTGACCGTTTAGGGGTCGACCGCTAGCCGCTTTTAAGGAGTAGTTGGCTTTTCATGTTCTGTTTGGTTATACGACTGTTCGCGGCTGTCTGGGTCCGGATGATTTCCCGTAGTTAGTGGTATTTCGTCGGATGTTGAGGTCCTCATTAGATCAGTTCATTCACAGAGCTGTAGCAAGGGAAGATTCACTAATCTGGCCGTCTCAAAGTGGTCATCAGACACCCGCGGCAGCCTACCCGGTGCGTTTAATCGTAGTCCTGTAGGCAGTCTCTTGCGGAATTTAAACCAGTCATCCAAAATGATCCTTCTCATTAGCTCAGACTGAAGTATCACCTTAGTCAACCGGGGACTTTTTCATTATAGGTGAGTGGAACTTGAATTCCTTCAACCGCTTAGCAATGACACTCTCGAGGGACAGTTCATGGCGGAGTTAACTCTCTTGTTCCCGGCCATGTGCTTTGCTATTTCAAAGTAGGATGTCTGAAACTCATGAACTGCAACCAATACTCGTCCGCTTTTCGCCAGATTTAAGATAATGACTCACAGTTTAAAGCATTTAGTTCCCTTCAACAATTTGAAAAGCACGGAAAGAAGACGAAGGCTGGCAGATGAATGCATTTCGTATTGTCTCCTCAGTACCATTAACAATAACCGATATGCATAGATATAGCTAACAGTGGGTGCAACCAGACAAGCTTGAGGTGCAAAACGAAGGACGGAAGTTCACATATACGTCCAAGGCAGCTTTAGGCTGACAATTGTTTCTGAACACACAAGGCTGGCTTAATCCAGCTTATAGCGACAGCCTCAGTAAACCAAATGAAGCGGGGATTAGTGTGACGTAACACAACTTTAAACGCTGAGCCCAACACTATTTGGTGACCCGAGTCTAATAGGTGTTTGCCTATCGAGGAAGCCGGCGGTCTGCGTGAACATGCAATCTGACGAGGGTAGGCAATCTGAGCAACTTCACGTTGAACCTATCTTGGTACACGTTCTTTTATTCGGGAAGGCAGCGTTCTATTGGTTCTGCCTATGTAACTTTTTCCGCAGTCATATACAAATTGGTAAACACAGTTGTTCTTCTCTTTCGGACGTTTTTCCAGAAGATATAAGGAAGCATGCACGCTATATGTGATGAGTCCCGAAGCCGAATCGTCAGTGAAACTCAGCGTTACCGGAATAAGTCAAGGTTCACCGTAATGCACTTAGTTTAACTGTCACATGAACCTTCTCAGATTTATGCTTCCATAAATGGAATCCCGTAGGTTTCGGTCGTCCATCAGCCTCCCCTTTTCTGGTGCTGGACTGCCATTCTGGAATGCTTGTACATACAACGAATAAAGCGCTGTTATTTCCCCTTTTGACTGCAGATTTGCGGGTAATTACTTGCACAGCTTTTAACGGTTTGATGGACCGTGGACACAATATCATCATAACGTTGCTCAGTACGAATGCCGGAGTCAGGAGTGTTCTTTCCAAAGTTTGAATGGAGGCAGCCGATGCGCATGACGTCCGGTTTTTGCTGTGGTGGAAGAACTCGGGCCCGGAGCATTCATCATCGCCGTTAAAATAAAGTGGGATGCACCGCTGAAAAGAGTGGAGGCAGGCACGCTAGATGTTGTTCTGCTTATAAAAATGAGGTGAGCCGGAGGATTTGGAGACAGATGCTGCAGTGCGGTTGGAACGTTTGGCTCCATTCTTCGGTCTGAGGAGGAGCTTGCGTTGGCTGGTTGAAGCACCAGCGTGGCGATAGTTGGCTCCAAAGGCGCGAGATCTTAGTAATCGAAAAATGTTCGATTGTCTCAGTCAACCTATCGCAGGTACTCACAAGCAAACATAACAAGTTGACAACGAGAATGACTCGATATGTTGAACCAGAACAAAATGCCTCGGCTGTTTTGTTTATCCACCTTAGGTTTTGCACAGACTTTCCTCTATATTTCAGATGGTATGGTCTACTGCAGCTAGAACCCATTATTCTCATTGTAAAAATGTTACCGCAATTCTCTGGAGAGCACACGCAGGATTGCATTATATTTGGAATGGTGGTTGTACTTTCCTGGTTAAGTGCAGAATGTGTGGGCCACTGTAATTCGCGGGGTCAGCACTGAGGCAGTGTCTAATGTCGGTCACACGCTGTTCGTCTAAACGAGTGTGCAATCACTTGGTGATACAGATTGTTCGGTTGATCGATCAGTGAGAGTGCTTGTCGGCGAGACTGGAGAACAGACTGAAAGTGCACGAAGCTTGATCCAAATGATGAGCAAGCAATGGATAACGCATTGTTCCGTATCTGTCCTGAGAAAGACTGTATATGAGCGAATCCTAGTTTATTAGATGCCTCAGAAATCGATCTGCCAAACTGAGTAACATAATTGGTTAAGTAACTAAAACAAAGTAGGGCTATACGCATAAATTTGTGCACAGTAGCTGTGAAAACAGTTATAATTGCTGGAACAATGATCCATGAGAAATACTTTCGCGCAAGAGGGTTCAGAGAATGGACCAAATTAGTGCGCTTCAAATGAGTGTGAACTGAATGTGTTATCAGAAGTTAAAAAGCAAAAGCTTCACGATAACGAAGAGCGCAAAATTAATGAGGCCCGTTGGCTTTTAGTGTCACGCGGTTGGTCCTCACTTGTCTTCTTGGAGCCGTCCATCATATTCTGACTGAATAGTTGAGGACAGCATGCTCTGAAATTTCCACTTTGAACGTGCAACTGTTAACTCCGATGGTTTCCACAGACTGGCAGTTAGAGTATTGTCCACAACCGGGTCCTAGTTACCTCACTGCTCTTCCGGTAGCGTTACGCGTGTGTCTTCAACGTCCGACCTCATGGTAAGAATTTTTACTCAATGGTTGCGACGTGAACCTGGGTTAAAGCTGCATTCAACTGACCTAAATAGCAAAAGGTTGTCTTTTTAGTGTTACACATCTCTTGTAAGAAGATAACCTTACAACTGTATGTCGCTTGTGTCCGGACCTAACGAAACCATCCACTGCGTAACTAAAGTGACAACTAACCTTCCTGCTTCTTCGCATAGTGTGTGTGCGGGGCCTTTAAACCGGTCGTGCCGTTGTCACTGAACATCGTTTTGCAATATCGCTATGGATACATTAGTGTTCGCAGAATATTTCAACATGGATACTTGTCAAACTATTTTCATGCCCACTGCTGCCATCGCGCAATGTTCGAGAAAAATTTAAGGTACTGCGCACCTGAAGACGGACGGTCCTGATTGAAAGTCTAGCTTGCAACGCTGGCTTTAAATCATTTTGTCCGGCCTGGTTAACTGTTGATCATCTACAATGATCGTTTATTTAAGTGACACTTCTATTACATATTCCTATTATCCATTCCAACAAATTTATTTGTGCTAATGTAAGTTTAGCTCATCCGTTGTCGATATTGGATAGTGCTGAAAATGTACCCAACTGGATACGTAAATCTTAATTTGACTTGCCTTGACTTGACTTATTATGCATCTTTGAAAATGTTTGTGTTTTACTTAATAAATGTGTTTGCTGCTGATGTGTTGGCGCAAGGCAGCATTAAAAACGGTTCGGTTTGCTGTGGAAGGAACACGAAATACAACTTACCCGCTTAAACTCCACAGGCGGATTTGGGGTAGCTGACTTTGGCATGATATTTAGCTGGATGTCCACAGAGTTGCCGTTGCTGTCGACTGTAAACGGTCAAATATACAGAGATACTAAGAAGTATAACATGCATGTAGAGATCAAAAGCGTCTGTATTTCAGTTAATTGCATCTAATCTAAATCATATAAATCCAGTACCCACGCAGCTCCATGTTCCTTGGGTCCGCTAAGTCTGTAGCGTAGTACGACATCCGGGTTAGATGGTTGACATTCGCCTGACAAGCAACCTTCGGTTTTTCTGCGGCCAACCTTATCGAGTCGGTCACCATCGATTGACACTTCGATCATGGTGAAGTTAGTCAACTGGGTGCTGTGCAGCCCTCGATTCTACCAACAGCGAAAGTATTCTTAAGCAACTATGTTCAGTTTGGCGAAATGGATTCAAATTCTGAGTCACAGTTCGGTCGATTTATACCTACTTATCGTAGAGTCAGGTTTAGACATGTGTTGGTCTTTGACAGCGTGTAACGAGCCGCTACTACTGCAAGTGAAGAGTAACCACCGGGTGACATCAGAGGGGGTGAATGTTCGCCTTTATGTAACCAAATTCAATCCTGTTGATCACCTTAGGCTTGCATCCCTGAATTTACGCAAGTAACCAAAACCGTTAACATCGCTTATCAAACATGAAGCAGTGTCGTCAATCAGACCATATTCCCGTGTTGCTTGCCGTATTAAATGCTTCATATAGTTACTACATTTGATGATCTTGTTTGTTTGAGCCACTTAATGGGGGTATTTCGAAAGCAGCGACAGAGTTAACAGATGGGACTACGCGCTAACTTACAGGTCTGAATTATGTTACAAATGATGGTAGTTAGGTCTTATACAACAGAAACTTCACCGCCTAGGGGCAGTAGAGCTTTGCTAGTGAGGTTAATGCGAATACATTGCGCCGAACGTGCTCATAGTGAATGTAATTGTGAGGCTTCGGCAGTGTACTCTATCCCAGGTTTAGACGATAGGAGTCGGAGAATAACTGTGCTTTCACTTCATCGAGCCAACAAAATTAATGATCACCAATCAACCTCTGAAACTGGCGGTTCCATTTCGATTATCCCTGCTTTGATAAGCATGCTGAAAATCAAGTGTCATGGAGATGGAAGATAATTGGTAGAACGGAACAAACTACCCACTCCTTAACATCTGGATTAATACCATAACAACGAGTTAGTGTGGTCAGTTTGCCGGTAATAACAGTCTAGTGCGAAGGTCTTTCACTGACGGACCTCTGGTTTTGCCTCCAATATGACGTGGATGACAGTTACTCAATTAAGACCGTGCATTGGATCAGAGGGAGAGCCAGAGAGTAGAACTCAACCGCACGCGGAGAGTTCGTTACCAGTCTCAAATAAGTTGACTTTATTCCTACTAATAAAACAAGAAAGGCTGAATTACTAAAGATAGAACTTAACATTATACCTGATGCGTTTAAGTTGGTCCTACCTTGTTAGAGTAGTCTAAAGGATGCGTCTCCTGTAGCATATATTTATCGGTGTGAATCAGCCCAGCCTTATAAATACGTGAGTTGATGATCCTATGGCAAACCGAACCGGTTTGCTTAATGGCCAGTCACTCTAGCATTTGTCTTCTATACCAAAGATGGGTACCAAATTCACAGCATCTCAGTAATGATTCCGTGTAAATAATGTCACTTTCCAGGCGGTGCATTCATCTGACATTTTGGGTGATAGCAACGGAGTTGTTGGGACGAGAAAACTTTTCAAGCGTTAGTAACACAATACAGTAGGGAAATAGAGGAAACATTAGCAATTTACTGAAGAAAATTTCGTGAGCAACCTGCCTTCGTCCAGTCGGAATGATTTCGGTTGCTGGCTGTGTAGGCTAATCTGATGACTTGGGTCTCTTGTGGATAAATCGATTGCAACCGCTGACCCCTGGTCTCCCAATGTAGCATTCTGTTGAAAGTGCTTTTCCTTCATTGTACCGCTCTCGACGTCTGCACATGGCCTGCTCACTTTGTAACCATATTTGTACCGAAGATTTTCTTTTTGGTCATAGTAGAAAATTAAAGCTTGTAAGTAGCAAAGGGCCAGAATGGAAAGACAGTACTGAAAAAGAAGAAAGTCCTGAAAAACAGAGGAAAGATTCTAACGGTGTATCGGTTAGACAGTGTTGCGCAATATGTATGCGGAAATTTGTACCATTGCATGAAGAACAAAGCCACGGGAAACCGTGTGGTTTCATTCACAAGTGCACATCGAAGGAATCTTACTCTACTGTTACGCCACAATAATCGCAAAAAGAATTTTCCTTTATTCAAGGGTCTGTTCATTAACCTCGTCAAGTTGTTTCGAATAAACACGAGGGAAAGGTTAAAATGACGTCAATGTGGCAATTCCGCTTTCGATACAAGGTGAAAATATATACTAGGCACGCTGCTTCACCAGAATCTCAAAGAATAATAAATAAATTTATCAGGTTTTATTTACCATTTACAATTCTTAATGAATAATTTCGGGCACTGTTAATAATGGCCTCACGGAACTCAAGCCGACAAGAATGCATTTGAGGTCCTAATCATGCAGACAACACTATTGTGTACCAATAACGACCAGAGAAACGCCGACTTGCATCCATGCAATTCCACTGATGAATGCAGAAGCTATAACTCAAATCCACCCTCATAAAAACATATGTTGTTTCAGTTACTATTTAAATGCAAGTCGCTGGATTTCGAAAAAATTATATACATTTGAAGCCTTGATGTTACTTCGCTTTTCTGAATGCTGAATCAGTAATCACTCTAGAATGCCCCCGTCCCCTGAGGCTCTTAGCAAAACACTGAAGAACCAAAATTATGGATTCATTAACAGGCCACCATAAAAATCAACCACTTGCAGCTTAAGTATGGTTTATACATAGCCTATGTCCCAACTAGATTTTTATTGTACTATATGTTATACCTACCATGCTGTTAGACGATATCAGGATGGACTCACGTTGTATTTCGAGATATATGGTGCTTTATGTTCGTGTATTTTTTGATCCTCCACACTCAAAATTTCTATATTATCGAGTTTGAGAAGTCTTGCGGATAGAATTGGCCGAATTGGAGTCATAAGCACAGATATGACCCACTTAACTTGCAACTTTACCTTCGATTACGCTTTGAGAAACGAATCCGTGGCACGTGTTATCCAACAGTCCTGTGACATTGTTCTTCGTCCAAAATGACGGGAATATATCTGACTCGCTTTGTGTGTAACTCAGTATTCACAGCTGCTAATCTAAAATCGCTCAGTTGCAAAATACGTTCAACACAAATAAAAAAATGTATGAGACAATTCCATCACATAACAGTAAATTTGGGACAGGGTAAGGTACGATAACTTTCCTTAGACATTGGAAATAACGCAGCCTTCAGTAGTCCGAAGTGCAGCCAATGCGAACCCAAGACAACTTTGGTTACTACAATCTGAGGAATTTCCAGACGCGCATTAGCTTTGACAGCAGAACCTCGTGAGTTCGGCTTTCACATTGTTTTGGCCACTATAGGGATGCGCTTAGTTCAATGGTTTGAGCTTCTTCCTGGTCGATTTGCGGAGCGACCTTGTGTGCAGGAAGCAATCGACGAGGTTCACTAGCCCCTTTGATTAACAAGGTGGATTTGCATTTTTGGGACTACGCTGGACGAAAAAATAATGTCCGCGGCATGTCCATTTAATGTCTTAATAACGTTTACTGGCATGAACACGATATAATTTATTAACCTACTGAATGCTTCTGACGAACGAATTCACTGCTTGTCGATGCTGTCATCAGAAGTGCGCGTAACTTTCTGGACTCTATGGGGCTGACTTCGCCGACAGGTATGCTGATTGCTTAAGATCAGTTTGTGCCGACCACATACAAGCAACCAACTCTCACTAAATGCGGACATTTTTGGGGCCTGCGCAAGGCCACGATGATTTCACCCATATGCGCTTAACTACACTATCTCACAGTAGATCGCGAAAGTAGTTAGGTCAAGGCTTTCTCGGTAGTTGTTTCAAACCAACTGCCGCGTATTTTCAGGGCTTCGTTTTGTTGTATTGCAAAGTGGCCAAGTTGCGTACAGCTCCTGCAAAACACCACTCCGCATCGTCGTCGAGCAAGCAAAAAAATGGGGGTCATCAGGATAGAAGTACAGAAGGTTAGTATGAACAACACTGGCATCAGCGGATGTCAATTCGAGAATAAAAAACAACCAACGCATGCAATTGGAGATAGGCACTGAGCACTAGTTATCAATCACTGGACTGAAAACATTCAATAATATTATTGGTTGATAAACGTAGTGAACTTGCTACAGCCAATAGGACAAGCTTAGTAAGCAACCTACGGTACTCTGCGGAAATCAATTAGCCAGAGATGCCCTGTCAGTCGACATTCCGCGAGAAGTCAGCACAAATTTTACGGTCTCTAAATAGGCTCTGCTGATGATGAATTACTCTTCTTATTCCAAGTGAAATGCAATGTAAGCGACGCATTGACACTTCCAACCTGGAATAAAAATGCTGGCTTGCCGAACAACCTCCTAGTGGTGATAGCTGATTGGTTCGGTATTATCCCGTTCCAGTGAATGGTTCGACGGCGGCGTTCCAAGAGGTGGTGAGTTTTCGCCTGGCAAGCGTTTTCCCTATAAAAAGCCGCATATGTCCGTTTAACAATACTGGGACCTGGCGGATGAGACTCGCCACTAAATGGAGTCACTGCCCCTAACCTCTCTCTGAGTGGCAGTGTAATTCAAGTGTGGGTTGGGCCTCTGATCTTATGTGGTCCTAAAGGTGTATGAACCACTTGTTTGGTCACCGGCTCCCAGCAGGTTGCGATACGCTCATATTGCCCTGCTGCCTTGTAGATTAGATCCTGAATCAAAGGCTCGGAGAGAGGCCACCTAAGACAACCTTCAACTTCGGCCGGGTAACTGGGTGCTATCTCGCCAGCTGAGGAACCAAGGATGGATCATCCCCTTTCCACCCCAATAAAAAAGACTAAAAAATACTGCGAGTGAAAAAATGGACAAAATTTGTTTGGTTTCTCTCTTCATTTAATCTAACCCTGTCTTCTTATTCCGCCATGGTTTCCATGGCACGATGTCTGTACACAGATTGTGATGTATATATATATATGAATATATATATGTATATGTATATATATATATATATATATATATTGCCCCATGCTGAGGCTGATGTAGCATTCTTGATGCTTCTTCACCGCAGTTGGGCTAAACCAACTTACACTTAAACTAGGTCTTTTTAAGCTGGATAAATTTCATTCCGCTTTATTTGGTTTGTTCTGCCTCGCTGAATAATGTTCTATTAACTGGCCATGTTGCTTACACTAATTGCGCTTATCTTCGGTAATTTTGTTGCGTTTGTAGCATTTTAAGTAACTTGTGGACATGTCTTACTTATCACGGATTTGTTGCTGACCAACTTACTTCATTTGGTAATTTAGCGAAGAGTTATGCCACCGTATCTGTATGCATTATTGGATTTATTTTATTTCAGCTTGTCGTTTAAAGAGAATGGCTGTTGCTTGATATCCCCGGTGTGGCGGCGCTTGATGGGTATGTTGACAAGGTGCCTACCTTTCTATTACCCACTACATCGTTCATACTGGCTCCAGGAGACAGTTGGTCGTTGCTGGAGGGGACGGGGTGCACGGTTCTTGTGGCCGTGCTAGGCTCAAAGAGCGGTTGCATGCACTCAGTGTGAAGCGGACTACGGTCCAGCCACCGCCTTGTGTGCGGTTGATTCCCCAAATACAGCGTGCTTGTGTTTGCCTGTGAAGGAGTGTGGGCCGGCTCCGTTGATGTAACGTGGCTCCCATCCGCATGCCTCCCGGTCTTATTCTTTCGGGTTTACACTGGATATGGGGTATGTGGTTGGAGCTGTGGGTGGTGCAGCGCAAGCCATCCAAGGTCCCTCTGTAGGCGCAGGCGTCCTGTGGCTTGCCACAGTGACAGGCAAATCCGAAACCGGATGCCGCCAACCATATATATATATATATATATATATATATATATATATAAATGTATATATATATATAATGTGCCGTAGTGAATTCCACACCCGGTTCCGGAGGGGAACGAGACCCATGGTGTCATGATCACATCACCAGCCCCGACTAATTGAAAAGTATGGTTAGTTGTGTTGTCCCCGATCATGGACAGGTTAGAACGTAGCTGAGACCTATGAGTCATGCAATGTGGTAAGATCGGCCAAATTTGTAAAGCTCATCAATTACAGTTTACCTGTCCCTGTGGGTCTAAGTATATTGTACGCACTAACAGGCATATAAGAAAACGAAGCAAGGAACAACTAACAAGTGGATTCACGAACAAACATAATGGAACCAACTTAAGTGGATTACAAATCATCCCATTAGCACTGTCTATCAAATCGATAAAAGAACTGTTTTTGAGATCATATACAAAGCATCTTTTCGGCAGAAGCATCGACTGAGTGCGCGACTGTTTGCTACCGCGGAAGAGATATGAATAAGATTAACAAATACGAACCTATGCGTCCAGAAGAAACACGTCCAAGCGCTGCAGCTCCCATGGCCATCGTCCAAACGCGAAGCGTCAGACCCAGCCCAGCAATCCCACGTGCCATCCATCACAGGATCGTCAGACGCATATCAATAAACTCGATTTGGATGTTTTCGTTCAGTTGTTACTCTTTCTACCTACAAGTGATTTGTCAGCTTTTCACCGTTTTACCGTTTATTTATTTACTTAGTCTGATGAGGAATAAATAGAAAACAATTGTTCGCTCTAAAATCACCGCTTGCGTTTCTCTCCAGGACTAACAAAACATAGGCATTATACATGGTTACCAACTCTCGTAAGCTAGACTCAGCAACATAAAACCTTCGAATGATAGGTCAACGAGTGCTGTGGACTGTTAAGTGGTTTTAGCTAACCCCTATACTTGGACTTAAAAGGAACAATTTCATCTTATCCGCAGCTTGCTTGTCTACGTTGTTTGAAGACAGAGCACCAGAAGTCTAACCTGAATGATCCGTGAATAATGTATTACTGGACATGCACTACTGCAAAGCACAGGAGGAAAAA